TGATTTGATGTGTGCGGCCATAGCGTGCGTATCTCGGTGAAAGCCAACAGAAGGTAACATGGGATGATTTATTTATTTTTCGTCTGAGCATTTTCTGTAGGCGTCGTTCGATTACACCATACGATAATTCCCGATTTTAAAACCGCCAGATGATGAGGGTGCCGCTCGCAGGCATCGCGAAGAACTGGCAAAATGCAGGCATGCTGCGCGAGTGAGGGCACTTGTGTTTGACCAACCACGGCCAAGGAAGTGGTACACGACTCGCTATAGAGCATACAAAGCCCGGGGGGGGGGGGGGCGAGCTGCACGCGTACCTGGAGCTCTTATCTACATCTCAACAGTAACCCATGGAGGGTATATCGCGTACAAATACATAGTACGGAACGATGCTTCTCCCGTCTAACCGAAAGTCGGCGAAGAATTAGTGCCGCCCACCCAGCTGAGCGGGATCTCGTACAGATATGCATCGAGAACGCCATCGGGGCCTGCGGTGGGTGTCGACCAACAAAAACAACACAGAGCCATCTATGGCTCTGCACGGCTCTTGCACAGGTTGCTTGAAAAGCACCAGGCCGACGGGGTGGCCCCCGATGTTGGCACCACAGGCCAGATAAAAAGACAGGCAGGCAGGCAGACAGACCGACAAACAAAGAGAGTGAGAGAGAGCTAGAGAGAGAGCTAGAGCCGCCACCACCACGCACCTACATGCAACCCCCCCCCCCCCCCCGGTGGTCTCCCAAGCCCTCCTCCTCCCTCACCGCACCTGGTAAGGCGAAGGGTCCAGCACGACCGGGATGCTCTCGCGGGCGGCTGGAATCGCCACCTCCGGCAGCTCCTTCCACGCGCCCTTCTTAGGGTTACGCCCCACCGGCACGAACCTGTGGCCCTCCCTCACCAGGTAGAACCGGATGGGCGCCCGCTTGGCCTTCTCGATCCCGGCCACCGGCACCGGCACCGGCGGCGCCGGCGACAGCGCCTTTCGGGAGGAACGGGTTCTCCTGCCGGCGCTGCTGTTGCTGGTGGTGGTGGTGGTGGTGGTGGTTGCGGCGCTGTCTGTTCCGACTGCCGCAGCAGCCGTGCCGCCGCCTAGGGGGATTCCTTCACCGAGAGGAGAGAGGGAACCAGCATCATCGTCGTCACCGCCGCCGTCTTCGCGTTTCCCTGCCAGCTCTCTGCAAACCCGGGCGGGGGGGGGGGGGGGGGGGGGGGGGGGGGGG